GGCGGGAAGGGGTGTGAAGAGAAGCAGGCACGGTGCAATTGATGAGCATCGCCGTAATACTCTGGATTGAGTAAAAAGGGAGGGCAGTAAATGTTAGTGACGTGAGGAAGGAGGAGACTGCAGTAGCCAGGCAGAGACAATCCAGCTTGCAGTGCTTTGCAGCTGTAGCAAAGTGGGATGGACTGGCTGGGAAGACCTAGCAGATCCTGATAGAAAGGCCTTACCCTGCGCTGTTTACATGTTAGCGCAGTTGTTGGATCTGGTGAGTTTCGTTTGTTCAGCTAATTGCTTACGGAAACTGAAGACAGTTGGGTTTTTTTGCTGTGGGTACACTTAGTTCATTCATTAGTCATCTCTCATTTTGATTGCTGCAGTAGCTCCTGGCTAGACATTGTCCTTCTTCTGCTCTTCACTTATGATCTATTAAAAAAATCTGCCACATACATAATATCTTGTCATCTTTTCTGTTCGCTTAGTTTTGCTGCCAGATCTCCAGCTTTAAAGGTCACTCTCAAGATGAAAACAAAACCACCCTTGGAATTCCTAGTTAAAAGAAATGGTTGGTTGTGCTATCTTGTAGTTATTTCATAAAAAAGCACTTCAAAAGGCTGTCACTGGCGTGGTGTGACAGGCACCTTGCAGGATGTATTATGGCAGTGGGTGATCACAGTAGTTCAAGAGACTCCTCCTCCCACTGTGTGGGGTCCTGCACTCAGCCAGCTGGCTACCACAAGGAGAAGGGATTGGAGATTTCCTTCTGGAAGAGAGGGAGTGGTGCTGCGATGCCTTGCATCCTCTCCTGCCTTGAACAGAGGAGGAGGGCAAGCTGCTGCTAGTGCCCTGGTCGGAAGAAGAGAAAAACTTCCGTTTAGTGTATAGGGAGTGTGCAGTTGCCATGGAAGAAAGCAATAAAATGACAGCTTTGGTGGTGCTTGTGGTCTGAAGAGCAGCTTGTCACCCTCCTTCTTTCCATGCTTTTGTTTCTGAAAGGGATCTGGGAGGAGAGAGCTCAGAGGGCGAGGCAGGGAGGTAGGGTCATGCTGTGGTACTGCTAGGGGAGAGGAGCTGACTGCCTTAGGTTCAGAACTGAACCTGGGCATCTGACAATTGGGGACCACCAGTGGTGGGTTATTATGAGAGTGAAGGAAAATGGCTGTTAGAAGGAAGGGAGGGATTTTCGTCTTACAAGGGAGAAGTGGATTGAATTAACAGGTGATTGTGATCACCTTGGAATCCAGTGGTATATTTCTTTGCATCTGTGGCATTTGCAGGTGTGACTGTCCTTTACTTAAACAGAAGTGACTCGTATCCTGAAGGATGGTGAGAGAAGGGAACATCTCTCCTAACAGGAAGGAGACAAGAGCTTACTTCATTAGGGATTTGCAAATGGAGTGTGATTGCAAATTATTGGAGATAATGAGAGTAAAAATTTACATGTTAATACCAAAATTAATAACATTAGGAAATAGAGTGAGAGAGAGAGATTCCATGAGAATTATGAACCAGGAGCCCTGAGAGCTCTTCCCAGTGGTTTTCTGTGTGGCAGTGGAAGAACCATGCTGGATGTGACTTGCACAAGCCCTGAGAACTCACAGCTCCATGTAGGTTGATGAAACAGGTAAATAGGTAAATGCTTCATGTTTCAGCACATCAGCCCCGAGGCTGCGGCCCTGCAACTTGCCAGGCTCCAGCAATCCACACAACATGGGGCTTTTGACCTCTTTTCAGAAAACAGAATTACCTTCCAAAACAGTTTCGGAGCCTTGGAGAGAGTGATTCTGCAGCAATTGTGGAAATGCAAGGATTTTTCTGATGTCTAATATGTGGCCTCAACTACAAAATAGCTTGTTAGCTTTGCAGTATGTTCCCGAGGCCTCAGCTGCACGTCAAAATGGTTACAGCTAGGAAATTCTGACTCTGCTGTTCCTCGGTAGTAGGACGGCCAGGGGATATGGTTAAAATGCTCTGGGATGTGAGAACGTTTTTCAGAGCACTTTAAGCTGCTTATGCCTGTCCGTGGAGGAGACAGCTGTGAGCTGAACCGATCTGCACCGGAGCAATTGTTCAGCCTGGTGTCCCTGTCCCACGTCACAGGCCTGTGCTCCTAGAGACCCTTACTTGAAGGCTGCGTGCAGTGTATCTTGTAGGGCATGGGAAGCCCTACATCCCATCCGGATTTTATTGTTTCTGTCCCCACTTTCTAGCCTCTCTCTTCCCTTTCTTCTCTAAGGGAAGCAGTAGTGACTGTCAGAGCAAAAGGAACTTGAGTCAGTGGGAAGCAAATGACCCAAAACCTGCAACTTGGGCTGGGCCACGTGTGTGCTGCAGAGCTGCCGGGCTGGGTGAGGAGCGCTCCTCTCCGGTTCCTCATCTCCCCATGCTGCCCAGCAGCAGCTGGAGCTCAGCGGAGGAAGGCGGCAGAGGGCCCACGGCCCCAGAGGCAGACAGGGCTCCTGCCTTGTCTGCCTTGGGGCAGGCACAAGGGGACCTGCCTTGGGGCAGGCATGGTTGGGGTCTTTCTGCCTGGGGTGGGGATGGACCCTGGGTATCGGCATAAGGCTGCAGCGTGACACAGGCAGTGTGTGTGACTTAGAGATACCAGCCGGGTCGGGGGGCGTGGAACAAGGAGCCCTGAGTGGGAACCGCAGACTTGGAGGAGAGAGGTCATTTCTTCTAGAGCCTGGAATGCAAGGAGAATTTGGGGGGCAAAATAGAGAATAAGAACCATTACAGTTGTGGGAGGGGAAGACAGTGGAAAATGGGATGCAAAGTTTGGGCCAAGCCATAGGGTAAAGGGTATGTGCTGGGCGGGGGGGATAGCTGAGGAGACACAGGAAGGGGCCCCAAACAACTGTAGAAGAAAAAAAGGAGAGGCCTTATTGAAAGACATGAGAAAGGCTGAGACAGGGTACGGATTGGCCAGGAATGGGGGCAGGGGTGTGTTGTTCCTTATTGAACTGGGCCGCAGAGAAAGGGAAACGCACTTCATGTCTTGGATTCATGCAGGAGATACGGAGACATGAGCAGAAAATACGCGGTTGGCAAGACAGAGTGGTCTAACCACGTCAACCTTTGTGTATGCAAAGGAGTAATAAACTTGGGGAAAGACTAATTGGATTTGAAAATTGATGTCAGTGTAAGTTTTTCGGAGGGTGATTATGAATATGATTATTTTTTTCATAATCTGGTGACTGCTCTGAGAAACTGAAGATGTTGCAGTTAACCAGAAAGGTCCTTCGCTCCATGTCTCGTTCTGACTGGTGTTGTTACACTGCTACCTAAATTCATTCCGCTATAGTGACTTTCTGCATCTGCATCAAGAGGCAAAGCTACATTTTTTTTGTTGCTTTCTCAAATACCAGATTATTCTTGTTTGCATAATTGACCCTGATGTGCCTAAATTCTCTCTTTAGGAGGTGTATATAGCTGGCTTGCTCATCTTTGTTTAAAATTTAGATCATATTATACTTTGTTTTAACTAATTAATCACATAATCTTGTTTGTATATTACTGTTTCTTATGCTGCAACACATGCTGGCTTCTTTCTGCCTGAAAAAAAACCCCAAACCCTCAACCACTCTTACTCGGTATTCAGCTGTTGTCTCTCACTAGAAGCTTCAGAATAATAAAATACATCTGGGACACTCTCCCAGGTAATGACTGCCATTTGCTGAGCTCACACCTTCCTAATTCCGGCCCGTTTTTGGGAGACTTTGCAGGCCAAAGTCTTGCGCTTTCTCCTGTCAGTGGGTGAGGTAATTCTGAGGCAGTTCTGTCTCCCATTTGACCAAAAAGTCTCCATCTGCTTGCAGTTTATTCCTGGGAAAGGTTAGCCTGGTACTGATGCTGATTTCAGATTCAGCTTAAGGTGTGTATTGGACTTTCCTCCGGCCCAAATTCAGGAGCAGAGAGGTACCTGGGGACTTGGAGAGAAGTCAGTGCCACGCGGAGCCGTCCGTAATGGCTTCTCTGTGAGCACTGCGGAAAGAGGTGCGGAGGGCTCCTCAAGGCGAGCCCCGTGTTGAGCCTCTGTATTCCCTTAGGGATCTGTCAGTGAACTACTCCTTTACAGCCTCGGTGTGATGAAGAAGTACTATTTCACCCTATAAATGAAGGGGCATTGAGCCACTGAGTATCCTGCTGGTGTAACTATCCACACATTGATAGCAGGTGCAACCAACTCTCATCCTGACAAGGGAGGGCAGCCAAGCTTTCGCCTTGCCCTGCTGGAGTCACCTTTGTATCACCTGGGTGCCACCAGCTTACTGTCAGTTCCCTGGACGGGCGGAGGGAGAACAAACTTGCTTACCAGCTGACATAAACTAGACCGACACGTCATCCGTGTGCTGAACAAGCAGCAGACCCAAGCTACCTCCAGGTGTCCTCCTGGCCTTGAGTGCGCTGCAGAGAAGGGCGACCAGAAAAGCCTGGCAGCACAGGCACAGGGCCACTGACCAGGTCATCCGCTTCCCTCTCTGAGGAGGGGGAGGTAGAAGCACTTGCGTGTTGCTTCCTCTTCTCCCTCAGTAATGAAGAAGCTGGTTTTATCCTTTGGTTTTACTGCAGAGTGCATCCATGGCTCGCTTCTGCTGCCGACCGCAACAAACCGTATCGTCAGCACCGCGTTACTAATGTAAGCGTGTCTCCTTTTTCTCCCCAGGTAACCGTGCTGGTCCTTTTCGCCCTCGCGTTCTTAACGTGTGTGGTATTTCTGGTAGTCTACAAGGTTTACAAGTACGATCACACCTGTCCAGAAGGATTTGTTTTCAAGGTAAATTGCATACACATCCTACAAAAATAGGAGAGTTTGTAATACTTCGTGTTGTTTCCTGCATAACCTTGACTAAGCCACGCTGTATTGCAGAAATCCCTGTGTGTTTTCATAGGTTAGCATGCTTCCTGCTATGTTTCTTTTCTGTCTAATAATTGAGGCGCTATTGCACAATTTTCATAATATTATTATTTTCCTAATGCTTTAAACATTGAAAATGCAGCAAAAGCCCCAACACCAGTGTCCTTCAAACCTACTTCATCTGCAGTTGTCTGGACAAAGCCCTCATTTATGGGGCCGTACGGTTTAATGTTGCATGTTCCTCCAGATTCATGTGTCCTAGGAAAGAAGAGGATGTTAAAACCTGGAGAAAAATTACTCTGGAATACATGTCAAAGAAACAGTAGAGTGATGGTCTCATTAAGAGGAACAGAGTTACCTTACGGTTATTTTTGTACACAGAACTTGTTCTAGAACGGTGACCTCCGAGCCCTACTGCCCAAGGCCAAAAGGGAAGACACATCTATTGGAAAAAAATGCTGGTGCTTACGGAAGGGGAAGCTGGGGCTCCCCTTATTTGTGTGAGATGAGTGCTGTCTCCTGAGCTATCATCTGGGCTGAAAGTCAGAAAGATAACATTGATTTCTGGTTTGTAAATTTAGCAGTGTTGAACTTGGCTGTAATTAGAGAAGCAGCAGTGATGATGGCATTCTTCCCTCTTAATTTTTTTAAGAATATTTAGTCACATAATGAATCAGATGGGTACCAGTATGATCTTCAGAAGCATTTAAGAAGCAATGGCTTCTTGACAGTCCTGTTCAGGACTTTTGATTCTGTCCCTTCAGCCACATAACTCTCTTAAAGCAGTCTAGCCCAGAGGTGTGATCAGTGCTGACCTGCTGGATTACCTTGGCTCATTCAGTTTTGGGTGATGGCTTTCCCTTGGTCCAAGGGCAGAAGATACTGTGGCCAGAATATTTGGCTGTAAGTCAGGATATGCAGCTTTTGGTTCTGCTGTTGGTCTTGTGTGTTGTCCTAGATGAGCACTGAAACCCCACTGTGCTCACGTCTCATGGGATGATAGGCTTTTTCCTAAGCTTTCTCTTGGCTTTGAGCAGTTTGGAATGTGGACTGGATGTTCCTATGGAGCCTGTCTTGATGTGATCCTGACGTGACAGGGATGGCCAGTTACGTGCCTGTCGTAGGTCTAGTGACAGTCTGCTGCTTCTGCTCCCTTCCATACCATGTTGTCCCTTCCTTGGAGTTGCAGCTTCCTGCCTTTTGCCCTTTCTTCCTAGAGTTGCCAAGAGTTAAGAAGAGAACAGTTTCTTATCTCCATGTCAGCAGCACCGTGAGCAGAATCTGGTGGGGTTTCTCTCCGTAGGGCCCGGTGTCCGAAACAGAGGCTGGGCAGAGCACCCTGTAGCTCGTGCTTTGTTTTTAAGGTGCAGCACGTACACAGCGCTGCGCCACTGTTGCTCTGCCCCGGTGCTGGTTTGTGTGGAGGCTGTTTCCTAGCTGCTGGATAGCCTAATGCCAGAGACAATGGTGTCTTTGGTCAGGTAACTCTTCAGAGTTTTACAGGATAAACACGTCAGCAAATGGCCCAAGGCCTGAAACTAGCAGTGTTGACATAAGTTGCATCCCTTTTTGGGGGGAGTCCGTAATACATCATGGAGTAGCTTGGCACAGATGTCCTGGGAGAGATGAAGTCGTCTTGTCACCTTGTGACCGGTGGCTCTGGACTGGCTTCGTGCTTCAGGTGGACTCAGCATCATTCTCTGGCCTGGATGTCCCCAGGCTTTGGATGCTGATGTGATTTCCCGGTGAAGGACAAAGGTGTCCCTGCCTCAGGAAGCCTGGTACTATGGGAATCTCTGCATAACAGCTGAGCTACCGCAGCTCTGAGTCAGACTCGCTCCTCTCTGCTTTGATGCTCTCATACCTGGAGCAGTGCCAAGGGTTTCAGTGTTTTCAGCCCTTCTGCTCTCCTACGCACCCAGGGCTTGAAAGCGTGCCTGAGAAGGTGCTTGTCTGCCTTTGCGTAGCCTCCGTTCTGTGCTCACTCAAGCTTTCTGACACAGCCCTCATCTGCCACTGTGCAGATCGCTCCTCGGAGGCTCTTTACTGGCTCCTGGAGAGACTCACTGGAGTCTTCTTCAAAGACCTGAGTGCACTTGCATCCCGGCGGAATTTCTCCAGGGCTTCAGGATGCTCCATGCTGCATCTGTTAGCCCTTAGCTTGCCTTGCCAAGGCACCTGCCTTCCGTCAGACTCGTGGACGGTACAGCAAAGTCTTTCAGTGCATTGAAGACACCACCATCATCTGGAATTACTGACCCAGCAAAGTCAGTGTGACAGAAGATACTATTTATAAGTGAGTGCCACTGGGGTCTTTATGTCAGAGGAACAAAAGGAGTCTATGGCCAGGAACGGATGGGCAGCCAGGGTTTTCTCTGTCATCAAAGGCCCTAACCTGTAACTGATTTCTGAAGTAGAAGGGCTGTGGAAGAAACAAGAGACTGGCAACTCACTCTGGGACATCCCAGTTTCATGGCCTGCCTTATTACCTCTTTCACCTGGCAACCATGGAAAGAAATCCACAACATCAGAACCCCCAACATCAGAAGGATATAGACCAGTTGGAGCGAGTCCAGAGGAGGCCACGAAGATGCGTAGAGGGCTGGAGCCCCTCTGCTATGGGGACAGGCTGAGAGAGTTGGGCTTGTTCAGCCTGGAGAAGAGGAGGCTCCGGGGAGACCTTATAGCACCTTCCAGTACCTGAAGGGGCTACAAGGAAGCTGGGGGGGACTTTTTACAAGGGCCTGTAGTGACAGGACAAGGGGGAACAGGTTTAAATTGAAAGTGGGGAGGTTTAGATTAGATATCAGGAAGAAATTCTTCCCGGAGAGGGTGGTGAGGTGGAACAGGTTACCCAGAGAAGCTGTGGATGCCCCATCCCTGGAAGTGTTCAAGGCCAGGCTGGATGAGGCTTTGAGCAACCTGGTCTAGTGGAAGGTGTCCCTGCCTGTGGCAGGGGGGTTGGAACTAAATGATCTTTAAGGTCCCTTCCAACCCAAACCATTCTGTAATTCTATGATCCTATGAAATAAAAAGGAAGGAAGGAAATGTTCCAGATAAGCTGAAGGTCTCGGGCAAGCAGCAGGGTGAGAATCGGCACCAGTTTCCATTGTGTAGTCACTCCATGGTGAGGAGCTAAGCAAAGGGGCTGCCCTTGGGCAGTACACAAGGAGCAGTGAGTAAAAGGGGAGGTTTATCCGGTCTTTTCTAGAAGCGTGAAGTCCCAGGAGCAGAAATGTAGTCGCGGTGGAAACGTTGCTATGTGTCTTTCAGGCTCTTCTGTCAGATGTTGTACGTGTTTGTGACTACAGAAAATAACATCACTGAGTCCTTTTGCCTGTGACAAAGCAAATTGCTTCTAAAAGCCCCAAAAGATTCTGTGACTGTTTTTTTTTAGTCTGGCAGTAACCTTGGCTTGACTTCAGCACTAATTATTGTATTTGCTTGGATTTCCTTGGCAGATTTTGTAGTATCAGTAGGTTGTGTTCCTTCCCTCATTTTACATGGTGACTACATCCCATGACTGGGTGAAATAATCACTGTGTCTGCATCTACATACTTAGTCATTTTGTCACATCAGCAGCAGTGTCAGCTGTCCCAGAAAAAACAGGGATAGTACTTGCAGAAGATGGCGTGGTTGGTGTCGGTGACCACACTTATCAAATAGCTCCATTCCAGACTTGTCCTGGCGTTTGGTGTGTTCTTGGTTTTAAAATCGAGGTCCCAGCCTTGAAGCTGGCATATACGATGATCCTGGTCTAGTGGAAGGAGTCCCTGCCCATGGCAGGGGAGTTGGAACTAGATGGTCTTTCAGGTCCCTTCCAACTCAAACCATTCTGTGATGACCGCGGGGAAACCTCTGTTGACTCAGTGCTGGGTAGGCACAAGCGTCCACTCAGCCAGGGTTAAACCCAGCTGCTTGTGGTGCTGCTCCAAGCAGAACCCCGGGGGAAGAGTTGCCCTGGCTGCTGCTGTAACGACAGGTAACAGTGAGCCTGGGTGGTTGCGGCAGCATGGAGCGCTGCCCGGAGTCTGTCACACAGGCAGGTTCGACCCCCTGGGTGGGCTGTTAGTCCGTGACAGCCCGTCTTCTCCCAGCGCTCAGCTTGCCACGGCACTGCGGGCAGCGGGGCAGGCAGCTCCCCGAGACCACCTGTAGGCCTGTTGTTTTGGCAAGTCTTGCTTTTCTCTTTCACACCTTTTGATGCCTTTTTTTCCACTCTTCAAATTGATGCAAAATTTATATTAAGCCAAGGCTGTTGGATCTTTTCCCCAGTCACTTTGTGCTTTATGATTTAAACCACCTGAAGCTCTTCTTACTGGTGCTTATTTATGCCACTTGTCTTTTTCCTTTTGACAAGAGTCAACCCAAAAAGAAATGTGGACACTTGAGATGTCACCTGATCCTAAAAACCGTGACATTTTTGCATGTGTTTCTGTACTCGGAGATTTCCAATATGAAGCTCAGTTTGCCAAGCTCGATGAGAACAGCAGTTCAGGGTGGCTGTGCTGCAGGAGTATACATTTTAGTCTTCTGGTGCTGGAAGGAGGAAGCCCGAACAGCCCCTTTCTTCTTGGAACATAGAATCACAGAATGGTTTGGGTTGGAAGGGACCTTAAAGATCATCTAGTTCCAACCCCCCTGCCATGGGCAGGGACACCTTCCACTAGACCAGGTTGCTCAAAGCCTCATCCAGCCTGGCCTTGAACACTTCCAGGGATGGGGCATCCACAGCTTCTCTGGGCAACCTGTTCCAGTGCCTCAACACCCTCTCTGTCAAGAATTTCTTCCTCATGTCTAATCTAAACTTCCCCACTTCAATTTAAACCCGTTACCCCTTGTCCTGTCACTACAGGCCCTTGTAAAACGTCCCCCCCAGCTTCCTTGTAGCCCCTTCAGGTACTGGAAGGCTGCAATA